GGAGGAGGAGGAGGAGGAGGAGGGGGAGGGGGACGAGGACGAGGAGGATGAGGAGGATGAGGAGGATGAGGAGGATGAGGAGGAACTGGGGGAGGGGGAGGAGGAGGAGGAAGTGGGGGAGGAGGATGAGAGGAGGAGTTGGAAGAGGAGCAGGAGGAGGAGGGAGTGGCGAAGGGGCCAAGGACGAGAAGGAGGAGGAAGATGAGGAGGAAGAGTAAAATAAGCATGTGGATCAGGACGATAATGAGGAGGAGAAGGAGGAGATGGATAATGAGCATGTGGATGAGGACGAGAAGGAGGAGGAGAAGGAGGAGAAGGAGAAGGAGGAAGAGTTGGAGGAGGAGGAGTAGCAGCAGCAGCAGCAGGAGAAGGAGGAGGAGGAGGACAAGGAGGAGGGGGAGGAGGAGGAGGAAAAGGACTAGGAGGAGGAGGAGCTGGAGGATGACCAGGGCGAGGAGGCGCTGCAGAAGCCAGGCGTCTTTGCTGGGAGAGACGCGCGGCGGGAACCCTCCCTCCGCCCCTCGCGCGGGCGCCGTGCGCCGCCAGGAGCTCCGCGCGCCCGGCGGGGACCGCCACCTGCGGCGCTACCGCATGCCGCGCGCCCAGCTTGGCCACGGGCGGGCCCAGCGAGGGAGCCAGGCTGATGGGCCTGTTTTCCACCACCACCACCACCACCATAAGTTGGAGGGGGGAATGAGGAGTAGGACGAGGAGGAGGAGGACGAAAAGGAGGAGGAGGAGGAGGAGGAGGAGGAAGAGGAGGAGGAGGAGGAGGAGGAGGAGGAGGAGGAGGAGGAGGTCCTCCTCCCCCTCCAACTTATGGTGGTGGTTGGTGGAAGGCAGGCCCATCACAGGCCCCCTCGCTCTAGGCCTCCCAGACGGGGTCCGAGCAGATGGGGTCGGAGGATCGCGCCGCGTCGCCGGTGCATCGGCGATGCGGCGCGATGTGGAGCCCGAGGTTCTCCACGCCGACGTCGCCGATGCATCGCTGACGTCGCTGGTGCATCGCCGATGCATCGCCGAGATATCGGTGATGCATCGGCGATGCAGCGCGATCCTCCGACCCCGTCTGCTCGGACCGTATCTAGGAGGCCTCTACTCTACTCGCGTCGTGAGTCGAAGAGCAAACAGCGGCATGAACATAGTTTCGTGGAGCTTTGCACGGATTTCTTGGATCGTTGCTGGGACCTTGTGGCAGCGCCTCTGCGCCGCCCCTGGCGCGCCCCGCGCGCCAGGCACGAGTGTACAGCGCCTCGACCAGGAGGGCGTAGACACCATCCTGGGGCCCAGGATGGCCCTGGCCTGGCAAGGTGATGGTGTATAGATGCCTTCTGCGTAGATGCAGTCAAAACCGATGGGAAGAATGGGTCACCCTTCCAAGGGTACCCCTGCATCCGTGCCTCCATGGTGCATCCTGCACAGCCCCTTTCGATGGCCAGCCCCGCTCGAAAAGCTTCGACATGGGCGTCCCAGGGGCTTGCACCCCAATCGCGCATCCTTCCTATTGGTTTTGACTGTTCCATGGGGGGAGGGTGGGGAGCAGGAGCTGGTAACGTCACGTTTCGCGCCAGCGCCGTCGGAGAATGTCTAGGAACAGCCAAAGACAGCTCGGCCGTCAGCACGAATTGTGTCGTTCCCTGGAGGGGGGGGGAGGGCAGGGGCCGGTGGCGGCCACCAACGCGAAACATTCGCCGTCGGCTGCGAGGCAGAGGCAGTCCTCGCCAGCGTGGGACACATCGGGGCAACGCATCGACAACTTCCCTGGCGCGCAGGAGGGAGAGACGACAGACAGGGCGGCCGCGAGACAAAAAGCGCTCGCCGCCGTCGGGCCCATGGGGGCGTGTCGGCCGGCGGGCGGGGTGGGCTCCTCCTCCTTTTCCTCCATGGGTGGGCGTCTGGCGCGCTGCGCGACGACCTCCCCCACAGTGTCGTATCATCTTCCTCCTCCTCCTCCTCCTCCTCCTCCTTCTCCTCCTCCTCCTCCTCCTCCTCCTCCTCCTCCCCTCCTCCTCCTCCTCCTCCTCCTCCTCCTCCTCCTCCTCCTCCTCCTCCTCCTCCTCCTCCCTCGCGAACACCAGAAAGGCGGAGCGTCCCTCGCCGCCCCGAGCGCCTCCGCGCCGCCCGGGCGCCCCCATGCCCGGGGCGCCCTCGGCCCGAGCGCTCGGCACCCAGAACGAGCGGCGCGGCCCGGGACCCGCCGCGGCCCCCGAGCGCGCGCGGTCTGCGGGGCGACGTGTCTCGACTACACGTAAGAGTGACCTTTCGCATCGTTCAAGCCGAAGTTGATGCACATCGACAGCTCTGGAGAGCGCCTGACGCTGCCCCTCGTGCCTGGGCGCCTGATCGCAACTCATGTCCAAGGCTGACGCCTGATTAGATCCGCCCCATCGTGAAAAACATGCCTGAGGGACGGGTCGCGTCATTTGAACATGTCCACCCAGACGGGTGCGGGCACAGATGGGTCCCCAGATGGCCGAAAACGAAGCAGGAGCAGCGGCTGGCGCGCCCAGGTTTGGTCCTCCCGCGGCCCCCCAAAAGCCGCGCACCAAAGGTCACTCTTGCCCAGGGTCACTCTTACGTGCAGCCGAGTGTCTGGTGCGCGGCGTACCCCCGTCATTGCCAGCCTTCGGGGCCGCTGCTCCTGCCTCCGCACGGCTCGGTGCCGTGCCTGCTCCTCGGCGCGCCGCGGTGCCTCTGCCGCTCGTGGTGTCCCACTGCGCCCGCCCGCCAGCTCCAGCTGCTGGCTGCCGCCCTCCCGTCACCCTTGCCACCGTGGTTCGCCACGGCCGCCCACCGCGCTCTGGCCCTGCGCGCCAGGCTGCTGCTGCCTCCCCCTCCCCCCCCCCGGCTGCTCATCGTCGAAGTCTTCGGCGTCTGAGCGTCCCTTCTTCCTCACGGCCGTCCCCCTCCCCCATTCTCTGCCCACCGGCCAATTCGCTAGGTAGTGTTCCTTTCTAGCTGCTCGCGGGGGCGGAGTTCGCCGCCTCGCCGCCGACAAAAAAAGAAAGTCTGGTGCGCGGCTTCGGCTAGGATGTCCCAAACGACTGGTAGCCTTGACCACCAGAAAAGACCTCGAGCACCAAGAGGAGCACCGAAACCGGAGGGTTTTCACGTGCCGGTCCCTGGGAGACGATGCTCCTTCGACACAGACGTGGTCTGCGGGGCGGCGTGTCTGGTGCGCGGCGTCGGGGCAACTGTTTGGGGGAACGAAGAGTGGCAGACATAGAAACTCGGAGGTTAGGGCCGAGGAATGACATAAACATCAAAACTCGGAGGTTTGGGGAACGAGTGACAAACAGATCAAAACTCGGAGGTTACGGGAACGAAGAATGACATAAACATCACCAGTCGGAGGTTTGGGCGGATTTCTCGTATCGGCGCTGGACCCCCCTCCCTGGCGCGCGGAGCGCGCGCCAGGGGCGGCGCAGGCGCCGCCAGGGGGGCCCAGCGTCGATCCGAGAAATCCGCGCGGACCTCCGAGTTGCGGTGCTTATGGCATTCTGCGTTCCCCTAAACTTCTTCCAGCGTTCGACGGCGACCCACGGCCGGTCCGGAGGGGCCCGCGGCGCGCTCGAGGACGCCGACTACGACGATGCCGACGCCGCCGACGCCGACGCCGACGTCGACGCCCACGCCCACGCCCACGCCCACGCCCACGCCCACCTCCACGCCGACGACGACGACGACGACGACGACGACGACGACGACGACGACGACGACGACGACGACGACGACGACGACGTCCACGGCCGGCCGTTGCTGCCGCATCGCGGTCAGGCGGTCGGCAGGTTGCGGCGTGCCGTTGCTGCCGCATCGCAGACAGCGGTTGGCAGGGCCCCCGCAGGAAGGGCCCCTGTTTGCGTAGGGCCCACGCCAGCCGAGTCGAGTGAACGCGGCCTCGTCTCTGCGCCTACTGCCTCTCTCTCTCCCCTTTTTCGGGGGTTGCTGAAAGGGGGCCCATGGCCCAAGGTGCCCCCAGCGTTTCGTGCAATTTTGGAGCCCCTGGGGCCCCCAGGGGTTCGCGAGGGGTGCTCTGGAGGCCGTGGGGGCATTGAAAATTCTGGGGGCACCTTGGGCCAGGGGCACTTGTGGCAACACCAGACTCATCGGCTTGGAGCGACCTCCCTGCCTAGCTTTGCCCGCCCTCCTGTCGTTCCCCATCTCACCTTTGCAGGGTGGTCGTGGCTGGTGGCGGGGGTGGTACTCGCGCCACCCGGTCCGCCCCTCTGTATGCGAGAACAGCGAGGCGTTTTTCCCACGTTCGACGGTTACCCATATCTTTGGCAACAACCAGACACACGTACGTACACTGCGTGCGCGACGCTCCCCACCCCCCGAAAGGGCCGACGGGCACAGCGAACGTTCTCCGAGTAAGTTCCTTTGCTGGCGTGTTCTGGCCATGCCGCTTGGACAGCAATAGAGTCCACCGCCTCTGGACTACACGCACGTCTGCCTTCAATGGCCAGGGGGCCCCCAAGCGGTGTGGTGACCACACCAGGTGGTATGCCGATGGGGAGTCGGGGTCGCCGCACGGTTTCGGGACTCGGTTCGTTCTGAGAGGACGTCTCGGGCGACTGGGGCCTCCGAGGTCCTACAGCCGTGCGGGGACGGACCGCGCGGCGAGGTCGGTGGGGATTCCGAGGTGATCACGCGGTCCGTCGACTGACGGTGTTTTTGGGGGCCCCGAGAAGGGGGCGCACGACTACCCAGTACTTGCACGTCCTTCTGCGTCGTATCCTTCGCATGCAACTCCTGGGAGGTCAAAGTCTGACTTTGCCCTGGTCCGAGATCTGGCTTCATCGGGCTTGATCCCGCTTCATCGGGCTTCATCCCGCTCGATCTGGTTGGATCCCGCGTGATCCGCGGCCTAATCCGGCATCGGAGCCCCCCGATGGGGCTCAATCCTCCTGCATCCTTCCGACGAAGACCTCCCAGCAGTTGCCTCCAAACCATCCTCCCTCCCAGGGCCCGCTCCGACGCACTTCCAGAACGGCGCCAAGGGCGGTTTCGGCGGTGGCTGCTCCGCGCCGGCGCCGAGCGCGCGGAACGCTCCTGGCGCCCCGGGCGCACCTCCTCCCTCCCTCCGTCGAGCCTTGCCCGGGGGAGCTGCTCGGCAAAGGGTTGACAAGCTCTGCCCGCCTCGCAAGGCCTTTTGGAGAAGGGCTCTTCCAACACTCTGGACGCCCGAAATGGGTACGGAAAGAATGGGTACAATGCCCAACAGCAGTTCCTGTTCATTTTGAACAGGACTCGCTGTCCACGCCGCCGCGGCCTGTGTCCCTTCGAGACGGGAGGCCGCCTGTCCCACCGCGGCCGCGGTTGGTTGGGGATCACACTTGTTGTTGGGCATTGTACCCGTTTTTCCGTACCCACTCCGGGCGTCCAAAAAACACGAGCGGAAGGTCCGGGGAGGCGCCCGCCGCGCTCGTTGAGCGCGTGCCTCCGATGTCCGTTCCTGGGAGCCTGCAGGGCGGTGGTCTCGACAGCAGCCCTTCCCGCCCTGGGGCCGCGCTTGGCCCTTTTTGTCCCTGCTCCTCCTGGCCCCCGCTGCTCCTCCTCCCCCTCCCCGTTCTCTAATAATAGTAGTAATAATAATAGTAAGAGTAGTAATAATAATAAGAATAAGAATAAGAATAATAATAAGAATAATAATAATAATACTAATAATAGTAATAATAATAATAATACTTATCGTCCCCTTGTGAAGGGGCCAGTCTGGTCCAAGTCCGGTCGCCAAGGTGTTCCACATCTGGTCGAAATCGGGCTCGAATCGGACAGTGCCGGGGGCCACTTAGGCTCCTACGGAGCAGGCACCAAACGTGCCACTTCGCGGCCTCCCTCGTCCCTCCTCCCTCCTCCCCCTTGCTTCCTCCTCCTATTCCTCCTCCCCTGGCGCACGCACTCCTGCGCACGCTGGTTGGGGCGTGCGCGGGGGGGAGGACGATTGGAGGGATAAGGAAGAAGATGGAGGCTGGGAGAAATGGGGATGGAGGAGGGAGGATTAGGGTGGATGGGAGGATGGAGAGGGGAAGAACAGGAGAAGGCATGAGCAGGCAGGGGAGGAACAGGGCGCAGGATGAGCGCCGAGGAGGAGAGGAGGCATGAGGACGAGCAGAGGAGAACGAGTCTGTGGGGTGAAGGCAGGGGCGCCTCTTGGAAGTTGCGGCATGCTTTATCATGGTTCGGCGCGGTCCCAAAATGGTTTATCCAGTCCCCTATGCTTGGCCCTCTTAAAAGCCTGAGGATGATGGAGAGGAGAGAAGGAAGGTGACGGGGATGGAGGGGGGATCGCGAAGGGAGCAGTGATTGGCTGCGAGTGGGGTTTGCGCAGACCTAAGCAGCAGCCCGTACAAGTACTTCTGCGCACGCGCTGATCACTATACATGTTCGGTCGTCTGTGTACTTTGCAAGGCCTTTGTGGAACCGTGGTGATCCCGCTTGCATAATTAACCAATCTGGAGGGCGTCGTTTTTGCAGTAGTTGACGCGATGGGCCGTTAGTTATGGACCATCCTGAGCAATGTTTGTAGCGTGCTCTGCTTTTTCATTCACCATGGTGAACTGTTGGGTAATGTCCGCCACCACCCCAGAACCAGCATGTAGTACTTTGCAGTAACCTGGAACATGATATATCGCCCTGGGCACTCCAAAGGCTTGGTTGTAGCAGTGTATGTGTGTATGTGTGTAGGTGTGTGTAGGTGTGTGTGTGTGGTGTGTGTGTGGCGTGTGTGTGGTGTGTGTGTGTGTGTGCATGTGCGTGTGTGCGTGTGTGCGTGTGTGCGTGTGTGTGTGTGTGTGTGTGTGCGTGTGTCTGCGTTTGTGCGTGTGTGTGTGTGTGTGTGTGTGTGTTTGTGTGTATGCGCAGTGTGTTGTGTTCTCAGTTGCCCCTCCGATACGATGAGGACCCAACGCGGTGTTAAACTCCATGCAGGAAGGTCCCCGAGTGACAGCCCAGTACTGTTCATTTTGCGTTGCCTTCCGTTTGGTCCACACCCTAGATCAGATCTGCGATTCCTTCGTTGCCCCAAGGGGAATGAACAATTCCCACCTGTCTCACACCAACATGCGGCGTCCCACCACTACCAAGGTTCGCACTTCACGCATTCTGCGCGCAAGCCTTTGTCCGAAGTGGCCTCAGGAGGCCTCCTGGGGACCTCCAGGACACAATCCAGGGTCGAGGAGGAGCTGCACCCGAAGGTTCCCTTCTGAGCTCAACGCGGCGTCTGAGCGAACTCGGACGGCGAGGGGGCAGCCGCCAGCGCGAAGCTCGCTCAGGAGGAACTCCTCGGCAGGCAGCAGCGCAGCGGACGGCCACCCGTCGGAGCGTCCTTCCTGGCAGCCCGCATGTCCCCGCCCGCTTCCCGTTTCGCCAAGGCCGTGCCACCCGCTGCTGGCGCGCTGGCACATGGCCCGCCCGCTTGGGGGCATCGAGCGGGGGGGGGGATGGGATCTCAGAGGAGAAGGATTCACCGACCTTGGAGGCGGGCTACGTTCCGGAGGTTTTGTACGACGTTTGTGGAGATCCTCGCCGTCATGGCTGGGCGAAGCTCGAGTGGCCTGCCAGCAGGTCCGCGGAGGCGTGCAGAGACCGAGCTTGCGCGAATTTGAGAGATGAGCAGATATAGACCGAACCGATGTTGGTGCCGGTCCCTCGTCTCTGGGCCCATACACTCGCCGCCGTCTTGACTCGCTTCGGGAGCCTGGTCGGAGCAGGTCCCGGGAGGGGTCTGGGGAGTGGTTGTGGCAGTCTTTCCTGTTCCCCCCGGAATCATCGCCACCACCTGGAAGGGGTCAGAGGGGGGTCGGGGGCGGTGATGGTGTACATGGTGGGTTCGCACCGCGTTCGCTCGGCGGCGACCCAAGCTCGGATGTTCCAAGGTTGAGCGCTTCCTTCATTGGCCCAGGAGCCCGCAGCATTATGCGATCTGCGCTCTCTGAATGCCGCGATAGTTCAGTGTTGAACAGACCGCGCGGTGCCAGAGGCCAACGCCCGACGTCAGCGCAGCGTGAGCTCGGCGCACCCTTCTGGGCACTCTGTCACAGCGTCATGGCCTTGTACACCCCGTGGGGTGCTGTTGCTGGTGGTGCGCTGCTTCCCTCTCCATGCTCGGGCGGCCTTTCCGGTCTTGGGGGCTGGAGGGTCTGGGGAGGGAGAAGGCCCTCGGACGGTTCGGTGGATTGCTGGGGGTCTGTCGCAGCTTGTGGCGCAGCGTGCGGCGCAAGGACGCACCCACTGGGCAGCGCACGGTATGGCTGATTCGGGGATCCATGGCGCTCTCAGGAGGATGTTTTCCCCATGGGGGCAGGCAGTGGGGCGCAGCGGTGGCGACCTGGAGAGGAGGAGGAGGAAGAGGAGGAGGAGGGACCCCCCAAAAGACGGCCTGAGCGGGCCGTGGCCGTTGCTCGGCGGCAGATCCTCTGGCCGCCAGCGGCGAGAGCGGTGGTGGCGTGAGACGTCGGACCACTCCTCGGCACCGCTCCAGGAGGAGATGGCAGCCCCCCTCGCACCCCCGCCACGCCACTCCCCCATCCCCTGCTCGTCTCCTGCAGGGGTGACCGCCGACGTTGCGCAGATGTTGTGGTGCCCTGGGGTGGCATGGCCGAGTGAGGAGGGCACCCGAGCGTCTGTGGTCACACAGCGCGGGCCCCCAGAGGTCTGGACCCACTCCCCGAGAACGGTTTTTCAGCCCGAGGTTTTGTTTCAGGGTTCTCGACGCCCGAGGCCTCCTCCCACGTTCTCCCTCTGCGGCCGCTCTTCCTCTCCCTGGCAGCATCTGTGTGCAACTACTCAGTTCCGCCGCGTCCCGCGGGCTGGCCGAACGCGTTTGCACCCGCCCTCGCTGTTGACCACAAGTCTGTGGATGGTCCGGGCCAGAGGCCTCCCTTCGGGACTATCTCGCAGCGACAGGATGTCTGGGTGTGGTAGGGCTCCCGTTCTTGCATGCGAGATCATATATGCTTGGACTGTTTGGTGTGATGCAGCTGCCGAGCATGCCCCCGAATTATCCCTGATGTCGTGGGCCTCGTAACTTCGGTCCGCTCCCGAAGGGTTGCCCGTCGGTCGTGGATGGTAGGTGTCTCTGGATGCCCAGATCCCAGCCTACTTCAAGCGCCGTCTTACTCCAAGCATCGATCTGCTTGCTGTGCGCCGTTATTATCTGGGAGGGCCTGGGCCCAATCTACTTCCTCCGCCTTCCTACTTCATGTGTTTTAACTTACTTGCTCTCTACTGCGTATCAAAAGGGGCGGCGCGCCCTGCAGGCGCCTGCCCCCATATCGAGCTTGGCCTCTCCAGCCACAGCAAGCGGTCCTCAGGGCGGCGGGGCGTTCGGGACGACTCGGGCACCCCAGGCACGCCCTCTCATGAGGCGCGGCCGCTGGAAAAGCATGCCCGCGGTGGAGCACCTCGGGCGGGGCTGGGACGAGGACAACTCCGTTCCAGAGCGTTCCAGAACCATCTCAGAGCGTTCCGGAATGCTCTGAAAATGTCGCGGCGCCGGAGACATCCTCCAGATCCGCTGGATCTCAGAGATTATTGATTCATCTTTACCGTGCTTTGTCTTCTTTTTGGGCTTCGCCTTCAACACCTCCTTGGCATTACAGTCGAGCATCTGATTAAGGATGTGCCAGCGCGTCTTGACCAGCGTGCTGGAAGGGCTGGCCCGGTTTCTTGCACACCTTCGCCCCTTCAGCGTCGACAACAGACACTGCTCAGGTTTGCTAGAAGAAACTTGCGCGAAACTGGCCCTGCTTCCTGACATGATGAGTTTCCTGATCGTAATTTCTGCTGTGCGAGGGCGCCCGGAAACCTAGAATTAAGTCGGGCCTGTCCCTCCACAGGGGGGATATTCAAAGATAGCCAAAAAATCGTATGGGGACGATTTTCTATCATTTTCTGTTATGTGTTTACTATGTTTCATTGTTCGTGCAAAACCCCCCTGTAGGAGGACATGCCCGAAGTAAGCCTAGAACCTAGTCTCATTCTTCCCATCAGAGGGGCGAATCTCTGGCCTCCCGGATTGGGTGCGAGCAGATAGGTGTCGGAGGATCGGGCGGCGTCGCAGATGCGTTGGCGATGCGGCTTGATGCGAAGCCAGTTTTCCTCCACGCCGACGGCGCCGATGCATCGCCGACGTTGCGGGCGCACCGCCGACGCATCGGCCATGCATTAGCGATGCAGGGCGATCGTTTGACTCTATCTACGGTAGGATCATGTCGAGTCGACGCGGCGGCGACACAAGCGCGGGCGTTCAAGTTTGAACTTTGGCCGTGGCCTGGAATCGGCCGACATCAAACGTTCCGCGCTAGCGGAGAGCCGTTATCGTCCAAGGTTAAACGATATACAGTTTGGGTCCATTTGGAGAGGACACGCAAGAGGACACAATACCCTTCCGAGGGCCACACTGTCAGAGGACTGTAGAGAGCATGGGTCGCGAACGCACAGGACACAAGGTGCCTTCGATTTGGCAGATTGCCTTCGTCTTGATGCGGCGCCGCAAGGGCGCCACCATCACATTCTGTTATCTAGGAAGATCATCTAGCAATCCCAAAGCGCACCAATATGTACGCACGGTTAGGCTGCCAGTTTGCCATGGTGTGCAAGCGGGGGAGGGCCCTCGAGGCGGTCACTGTTTAGGCGGTCTCACCCTCGAAGATCCGATTCTTCTTCGCTCGTCGGGCCGCTTTGTATGCTACGTTCCGATCGGCCTTGTTCTTGCGGGCGACCGTTCCTCGCATCGGGTTTCCCATATCCAGCGGCAGCAGCCTTCGATTGACGGGGTGTGGGCGCGAGGTGTTGCTTGAGTCCTGGGCGCGGCGCGGCGTGCATGTTCTTGCTCATGATTCCTTTTACCTTGTTCGTCCTCCCCCTCCCCCTCCTTCTCCTCCTTCGTCTCCTCCTCCTCCTCCTCCTCCTTCCCTCCAGCCTCCTGTATCATCCCTCCTCTATGCTTTTTCATTTCTCCTTTGCCTCATCGCTCTCCCCTCCACGTCTCTAATCCTCAATCCTCCTCCTCCTCCTGTTGTTGTCTCTTTCCCTCCACTATGTCATTCTTTGAATGCACACCTCAACCACCATTCCTTGGAGAGGGGCTCAGGATGAGGATCGCGAGAATGGGCAGGGGGAAGAGAAGCCAGAAGAAGAAACAGGTGGAGGAAGAGGAGCGGGAGGAAGATGATGATGATGATGCTGATGCCGACGCTGATGAGGAGGATGATGATGATGTTGCTGATGACGATGACGATGATGCTGCTGATGACGATGATGCTGCTGATGACGATGATGATGATGCTGATGATGATGATGCTGATGATCATGATGGTGATGCGGCTGATGATGATGGCGATGCTGATGATGATGATGATGATGATGATGCTGATCATGATCATGATGATGATGATGATGATGATGATGATGATGATGGTGGTGATGGTGATGGTGATGGTGATGGTGATGGTGATGAGGATGATGATGATGATGATGATGATGCTGATGATGATGATGATGATGGTGGTGATGGTGATGGTGATGGTGATGATGATGAGGCTGATGATGCTGATGCTGATGATGCTGCTGCTGCTGCTGATGATGATGATGATGATGATGATGATGATGATGATGATGATGTTAATGATGATGGTGATGCCCCCCCATGCCGTCGTTTGGGGGCGCCTGGGTGGGTTGGGGGTGCGAAGTATATATGTATGTATAAATGTATGCATACCATACAAATTTAAACATGCCCGTATGCATGTATGCATTACCGATGCCGTCTGCCAGCTTGCTCGTGGCGACTGGAAGGCAGTTGGCAGTGGCAGATTCCCCAGGTACGTTCGAAGCTCGCGTGGGAAAGTGGGGAGAGCCAGCCGAGGCCGAGACACAGTCGCCACGACACGAGCCCGACGCACTCGCGGCCCCGCTGGGGGGGGGGCCTCCCGCGAAGCCGCCGCAGCCGCGTGCGGTCCTCCTCCTCGGTCCTCCTCCTCCTCGTTCCTCCTCCTCCTCCTCCTCCTCCTCCTCCTCCTCCTCCTCCTCCTCCTCCTCCTCCTCCTCCTCCTCCTCCTCCTCCCCCCCCGCCCTGGAGGTTTTCTCCTGCAGCCTGGCGCACCCCACGGTGACCTTCCGCAGGGGCACGGGCCCCGGGGGGGCAGGGCGGCAGCCCCCATCGAGCCCGCGGGGACGAGCGCGGGACGAGGGGAGGGGGAGGGGGGAGGAGGGGGAGAAGAGAGGGAGAAGAGGGGGAGGGGGGAGAGGGCAAGCTAGGTGCGCTCGCGTCAACATCTGACATCCTACCCCTCCCTCCCATCCCTTCCCATTGAGCTACTTCATTGTCCTCTCACCGAATCGGGCTTCGCATCTGACCCTGTTACCTAAGAGGGAAAGGAGGAGGACGACGGCGCGATGAAAACGAAGACGACGACGACGAGACGACGACGACGACGACAACCACGACGACGACGACGACGGCGGCGACGACGACGACGACGACGATGAGGACGACCGGCGACGAAGACGGGACGCCGCCCAAAAGGGGGGGGGGGCTTTCTGCGGCCCCAAAAATCAACGAATCGACACCGGATGTGTAATCACCTCCAATGTTTTTGCCGGGGATCATTTTCTAGATTTGGGGCTTCTTAAAAAGAATCGAAAACGTCGGCGCTGCAGCGGGAGCACGTTTTGGAACAACGAGAGGCGCAGAAATTGGGCCAGCGCTGCAGCGGGAGCACGATTCGGAACGAGCGGGAGCGCGGAAATGAGGCCAGCGCTGCAGCGGGAACACGATTCGGAAGGAGCGGGAGCCCGAAAATTAGGCCAGCGCCTCAGCGAGAGCAGCATTTTAGAAAAAAAACACAAGCGAAAACCCAACTCCGGGGAATCCTGTGTGTAAAAAAACAGTACGCGGGGGGGTGCCGAATATCTTCCGGACGCCATCAGGGGAAGTGGGAGAGTAGTATTCATATTGTGTAATTGTGGAGGGAGAGGGGGGAGGAGGGAGAGGGGGAGGGGGGAGGGAGAAGGAGGAGGAGGAGAGGCGGAGGAGGGGGGAGGAGGAGCAGGAGCAGGACGAGGACGAGGACGAGGACATGGAGAAGGAGGGCCTGGAGAAGCAGGAGCACGAGGAGGAGGAGGAGGAGGAGGAGGAGGAGGAGGAGGAGGAAGGTGAGGAAGAGGAGGAGGTGGAGGCGGAGGAGGAGGCGGAGAGGGACGAGGATGTGCAGGGCGTGTGGAGCGCTTCCGCATTCCGCCCGCCCCACCCCTCTCCTCCCACCCCCGGCCGTTCTACTGCTTCCCTCCTGCCCGCCCCTTCGCCTCTGCTCTTTGGGACCCCCGCCTCACGTCGGCGCCCCGCTCAAACTTATGCCCTCCCCGCCGTCGCCGTTTCCGCCCCGCTCTCCGCCCCGGCCTGGGGGTGATGTTGCACCGCGCACTCCCGTCCACAGTCCTCCTCGTCAGTTCTCATGGGCATGCACGCTCGCTGTATGTTTGGGAGCACCCCCGTTAAAAGACGAACGCACCGTGTGCCCGCCACCATATCGGCTCTCCCCCCGCTTTGAAAAGGGGAGCCCGCCTCTTACACGGGTACTTTACACAAGCGTCCAGGTGTAGGGTTATAAATCTCCAGCAGGAGGTGTTAAGCGGAAGTTCAGTTTTGAACTTGATCTGCTCTCTTTCTGTGCAGTGTTGCGCAGTCTTCAAAGCAGGACCGCATTTTGATCTGGAGCCGCCGCCCATCTCAGAGCCTGTCAGACACGCTGCAGCATCGGGCCATAAACTGATAGCTGGGCCCACGCGGGGGGCCCGCGTGGAAGAGCAGCTACCCTCCATCCGCGCACGTCTCGCCTCGCCGTTTGGGGCAGGGCTTCCGTCTTGGGGAGGGCGCCTCGGCCACCACGGCAACCTCAGCCTTGGGCGCAGGGCTTGAGGTGAGGTTCGCCGCGGCACTGGCTCCGCCTCCTCGGGGCGCCGGACGCAGGGCTTGCCGTGGCTCTGCCGCGTGGTGTCGGCGGCGTCCACTGGGGCGCGTCGAGGACCAACGGCGCGGCGACACGTGCGGCAAGCTGTGCCGGCGGGTGTGTGCGGGCGAGGGGGCCGGAGCCGCGTGCTGCAGCCGATGTTTGCCCTCCATGCGCGCAGCCTTCTCCAAACACCCAGCCTTCACAGCAGCCTTCTCGAGTGCGTCTCGGGTGCCGCTCCCGGCCCTCTCCCTCCAGCGCGTCCGGCGGGAAGGACGTGTTGGGGGCCGGGGGCGCCGGAGGGCGGGAGGGAAGGTGCGAGGCACCCCTCCTCCTTTTCTCCTCGTGTGTTCTCCTCCTCCCTGCTTCTCCTCCTCCCTCCCGTCTGTTGTCCCTGCCCATTCTTCTCCTGTCTCCCTTCTCCCTGCTTCTCCTCCTCTCCTCCTGTCTGCCTCCCTTATCCCTGCTTCTCCTCCTCCCTCCCGTCGATTGTCCCTGCCCACTCTCCCCCTCGATCTGCCTCAGCCGTGAGCCCATGCTCCTCGGGTGCCAGGAGGAAGAGAAAAAGAGAAGGGAGGACGAAGAGCAGGAGGAGGAGGAGGAGGAGGAGGATGAGGAGGGACGTGGCCAGGACGAGGATAAATCCGTTTCAGAGCGCTCTGGAACGCCTTGAGAGGGCCGCGGCGCACGAGACATGCTCCAGCGCCGCCAGACTTCACAGACTCTCGACGACTCCTCGCCCGATCATGGCCTCGCCATGTCTTCGTCTTGGGCGGCGTGGTCAGTCCTCTCCCCCCGTTGTGGGCTCCGCGACGCCACGCCGTCGCGCTAGCGAGGGCGGGGCCCGTCAAACAGATGTTGTCAATGCAGCTGCTACTCTTTCTGCATCGCTTTCATCGCAAATCTGGAGTTCTTCTCTGCGGCTCCTCGTCCATCCGCGCCCTTCCGCCGCCCGCTCCTCGCCTTCCTCTCTTCTTGTTGTTCCTGCCGGCGCACGGCGCGCGAAGCGCGGGCCGAAGCCCTCGTACAAGTTGGACTCCCTCTGGCTGTTACAGGCAGACCGTACCAGACGGGACAACTTCCGAGCATCGTGCCTCCGAGTGATTGTACAGATCGAGCAATCTCAACACTCCAGTCGCCGTTTCTGGTCGCCGTTTTTTTGCCGCTTCCATTTTTAAGGGACACGTTTTTTTTTGGAAACGGTGAAAAAAACGGCCCTGCCGTTTCCGGACCCCACAAAGTCCGAGCGATATTACAGATCGAGCAATCTCACTACTCCAGAATTGCGAACGCCACTGTGTGATACAAGGCGAAAGCTGTTCCTCTGAGTGAGACGCTCCAGAAACGACAAGTAGGACGCGCGCAGGAGCTCCTCGGTTCTGTGGGGCCCCATCGGTGACAGCAGCGGTGCGCTATCCTGTGGCTCTCGACCCGTCTCGCAACCGCGCAACGGTCGTGGGCAAGAGGGCCTCCCGAGGGCCTCTCGGGGCCCCCAGGCAGCCTCGTGGGGGCCTTGTCCAGGCCCTCCTGGGGGCCTCCTGGGTGGCCCCTCGTGCGCATCCCGGGGGCCTCCTCGAGCCTTGGGGGGCCTCCTTGTTGGCCTCCTGGCGGGCTCCTTGCTGGTCTTGTGGGGGGCTGGAAATCCATGCGCAGGGCCAGCGGGCCGGGATCCAGGGCAAGGGCATGGGCCCCTGGACGACGGACGTTGACGGCGACGACGACGACGACGGCGGCGGCAACGGCGGCGGCGATGATTGTGATCGTATTTCCTCTTCTTCCTCCTCCTCCTGTTTCTTGTGCTGCCTCTTCGTCCTCTTCGTGGTAAGCATGTCGCGCCGCGCGCCTAAGTCTCTCTGACCGGTGATCGCCAGACCTGCTGCTGGCTACCCTCATCCTCGTCTTCATCCTCCCCCCTCCTCACTGCCCTCCTTCTCCGCCTCCTTCTCCTCCCTTCCCCTCCTCAGTCTTCTTCCCCTGTGTCCCTTCTCTTCGTGTCCCTCCTCCCCTATCCCGTCACCCCCCCTCCTCTCATTCTCAACTTCCGGCCTCCCTCTCCTTTCGCCTCTACCCCTTTCCCATCCCCCTCTCACCCCCCCCTCCCTTGCTCCTCCCTTATCACCCCCCCGCCTCCTGATCGCCGCCGCCTTCCTGCCCCCATCCCACTTCCGAACCGTGGCCCCCCTCTCCCGCTCCTTGTCCGTCCTTGTCCTACTCCTCTTGCCCCCCCCTCCGCCATACCCCTGTCCTCCTCCGTTCTCAATTTTCTTTCCGCCATCGTTCATCTTCATGCAGCCTTCCCCCCCCCATCCTGCCATCATCCTGCCCTCCATCCTGCCCCCATCCTGCCCTCATCCTGCCCTCATCCTTCCCCCCCTCATCCTGCCCCCATCCGTCCTTCCTCCATCCCCTCTCCCCGCCCTCATCCTGCTCCGTCCTCTCAGATTCCACCCCTCCTCCTCCATCCTCCCTCCTCCTTCTCCGCCGTTGCACTTTGTCCGTGACCCCAGCCCCCTCGAGGAGCTCGGCCCCAGGGGCTGGGAGACGGCCTCTGGGGGCTGAGAACGGTAGCATGAACTGCCATCGTGGCCCAAGTGCGGCGTGTGCTTGTGGGACCGTGGCCAGTCGGTCTCGCCCCGCGCCCTGTGGGGTGATCTCCTCCCTTCTCCGCCGTGCGTTGCCCCCCCAAAAGAATAACCTACTATACGACCACCCTGCGGGTGATAAGGAGTTTGTGGGGGGGTGGGGGGGAGGCGGGTGGCTCATGACGACAACTGTGTTGAACGTGGTGGTGATGGGCGATGATGGTGTGGATGACGTGGCGTTTTTTTTGTTCCTTCGCTTGGGCGACTCATGGCAGGACAGTGAGGTGGTGATGAGGAGGTTCAACACAGTTGTCGTCATGAGCCCCCCCCCCGCAACCATGATGAGCAACCGGCGGGACAATGATGAGCAACCATGATGAGCAACCGGCGGGACAATGATGAGCAACCATGATGAACAACCATGATGAGCAACCGGCGGGACAATGATGAGCAGCCATGATGAGCAACCGGCGGGACAATGATGAGCAACCATGATGAGCAACCATGAGGAGCAACCATGACGAGCAACCGGCAGGCAACCGACGGGACAATGCGGGCCACCGCTTGACAACACCGGGGGGGGGGGGGCAAACATTTGTGTTGGCGGACCCCTAGCGACAGCAGAGTGAATTCCTCTCGCTGGCACACGCAGCTTCGCCTCGCCCGCACGCACGGCACGAGCACGAACTCGAAACTCGATTTCCCGGTGGGGGGACTCCGTTACACTGCGATCTCACCCCCCAACATCCGACCATCGTGATTGCGGAGGGTTTCTCCGAAGGGCTTTGGCGACCCGTCCTCCTCCTCCCCCTCCTCCTCCCTCCATCCCTCCGTCCTCCCCCTCCTCCTCCTCCTCCCCCCTCCTCTCCCGCCTCCTCCTCCTCCTCCTCCTCCTCCTCTTCCTTCCTCCTCCTCCTCCTCCTCCTCCTCCTCCTCCTCCCCTCCTCCCCCCCTCCCCCCCCTCCACCTCCTCCCCCTCCTCCTCCTCCTCCTCCTCCTCCTCCTCCTCCTCCTCCTCCTCCTCCCCGTCCTCCTGGTTCTCGACTGAGCGCCGCAGACATTCGTTTTCACAATTTGCAAGAGTTCCAAGGTATTTTTTCAAAATGTGGCTCTCGCTGTAGCGCCGCGCACATTCGTTATCAACATTTTCAAGAGCTCCACGGATTGAGGGCGGGTCTTTTCCAACATGTGGCTCTCGCCTTAGCGCCGCGCACGTTCGTTTTACAATTCACAAGAGCTTCACGGATTGAGGGCGGGCCGTTTTCGAAATGTGGTTTTCTCCTTAGGGCTCATCCATTTTCAAAAATTGCAAGAGCTTCACGGATTGAGGGCGGGTCGGTTTCAAAGTGTGGCTCTCGCTTTAGCGCCGCGCACATTCATTGTCCAAGCTTACAAGAGTTCCACCGATTCCCATGATCAGCGAACCAGAAATTGTGCTTTAGAAGGGTGCAGGAGCGCAACAGTTAGGTTGATTCGCGGTGTTGAAGTCCCCAAAACGGCGCTCTGTCACGATTCCGGATCGTCAAGACGCAGCAGTCAGGTTGATAGGTGGCGTTGAAATCCCGAGAGCAATGTTTTGGCACGCTTCAGGATTTTCGATCGGTTGTCTTCCAACGAGGCAGTTCCCTCAATGGAAATGAACCGTTGTAGGGACCTACGAAGAGAAGACTTTGAGGGAGGGTTCATTCCATTATCGTTGATGACGCTTGGGTTTACACTGGTCCTCCTCGTCCTCCTCCTCCTCTTCCTCCTCGTCCTCCTCCTCCTCCTCCTCGGGTCGCCTACGGCCCCCCGGGGGAAACCGTGCACGTGATTGTGCTCCGACGCCTCTGGGCATCCTGGAGTCTGTGCTTCTCCACCCGCGGCCCCGGAGCTTCCGACCCCCCTTGCCTTATGTCGGGCCTGTCCCTCGACGGGCGGAATATTCAAAAATAGTCGCAACATCGTCTGGAGAGAACTTTTTTTTGATCACGATGGGGTATCTTCTGCTGGCTTTCCATGTTTCGTTCCAAGATCTGCCTGCAGGGGGACATGCCCGACCTAAATCTTGCCCCGAGGGGCAGTTCTGCGCCCCGGGGCCCGCTGCTGCTAGCCTCTAGGGCCTGACGGAGGGCCCTGGAGGCCGAAGTCGGGCACGTCCCTCTGCCGGAGGGAATATTCAAGAATAGTCCAAACAAATAGTCTGGGGACGATTCTTCGAGCATTCTTGAGCACTTGTTTGAATATTCTTGGCTACTTCTCATTTTCCGTCCAAAACCCGCCTGTAGGAGGACACGCCCGACCTAACCCCAGAGGTCGAATCCAGGAAGAGGGGCCGGATGGGCTGAAACTTCAAGGGTCGACCGCGAAGTCGTTGAGCGTGGTGTTGGCCTTTGTTTTGCTGTTCGTCTCGTGTTTCGGTGTTGTGCTGGTTCCCCACGGCCGCCCGCCGAGCTCATGCCCTGCGCGCCTGGCTGCTGCTGCCCTCCCCCCAGCTGCTCATCGTCGGACTCTTCGGCGCCTGAGCGTCCCTTTTTCCTCTCGGCCGTTTCTCTTCTCTTTGCCCGCCGGCCAATTCGCTAGTTGGTGCCCCCATCTAGCTTCGCGCTGCAGCGGAGTTCGCCGCCTCGCCGCCGACGAGAAAAGTGTTTCCGTGTTGTGCCGTTTCGTTGTTCGCCTTCGTTCTGAAAACCCCGTTGTGTTCCCCTTCATTTGGCAACGGCTCTGTTGCGATCGTCTCGTGTTTCGTTGGGTTCTTGGGCTTCGTCTCGTGTCTCGTTGTAAGCGCCATTGTGTTTCAAACACCGTGGCGGTCGGCATCTCGCACAGGCCACATCGTCAAATGTTAGGGAGATCTGAGAGGGGGGGGCCCCTTCCCTCAGGACGGGGGAAACATACACAGAAACAAATTATTTTTTGCTCCCCAGGAAGAATTATAGGAAAGAGGGAGCACGGACAGCGAGAACAGATCCACGCACGGCATCCCGAGAGGTTCGCTCCAGACGAAGGGGCGGCCAGGAACGGCCGGCGGAGGCTCGTTCTCCCCCCCCCCGGTGTGGGTCGGGGGCTGCGGCGCGCAGGCAGGGGGGGGTGTTTACATGCTCCAGGTTTCGCAATAAAAGGGAGGGGGTCTCAACCCTCCCAGGCGAGAAGTTTTAGACTCCCCCCCGTGGGAGAACCCTCCAAAGCATCGTCCCCAGACCCCCCCAGGCCCTCCAAGATAGCCTGGAAGAGACCCCCCCCCCCGAAATGAGCCCCCCCTCCCGAAATGGGTCTCATTTCGGGGAGGGTCTCTTCCAGGCTATCTTGGAGGGCCTGGGGGGGTCTGGGGACGACGTTTTGGGGGGGTTCTCCCACGGGGGAGGTCTGAAATGGCTTGTCTTGGAGGGTCCAGACCCCCTCCCTTTTATCGCGAAATCTGGAGTAGTTTTTGCAGCTCCGTAGCCGAGGGCTTGGCAAGCTGGGCGGCTTGTCGCCTGGCTGCTTTGTCGGCCTGGTCCTGGTCTGTGGCGTGCTGGCATGATTTTTTTGTTTTTTTATATAGCACGTTCAGCATTCAAATCCTGATGCGACGTGTGTCTGGTGGGCCTGTTTTCCATCACCACCACCATAAGTTGCAGGGGGAGGGGGTCCTCGACCTCCTCCCCCACCTCCTTTTCCTCCTCCTCCTCCTCCTCCTCCCCCTCCTCCTCCTCCTCCTCCTCGTCGTCCTCCTCCTTCCCCCCATCCGACTTATGGTGGTGGTGGTGGTGGAAAACTGGCCCATCATGTGTTTATTTGCTTGTGTGCTCCTGGGCCCCTTCGTCCTTTCCTCTCCGGGGGCCTCCGGCCACCCCCCTTGCCCGGCCGCCCGAGAGGGCGGGGTCCGAGGCCCCGACCTGCCCCGCGAGCGCGGGCCGTACCCCGAGGGAGAGGACGCGGCGGGAAAGGGGTGTTTTCCTCCTCCTCCTCCTCATCATCATCATCATCCTCATCCTCATCCTCATCCTCATCCTCATCCTCATCAGCATTCTCATCATGATCATCCTCCTCATCCTCCTCCTCCTCCTCCTCCTCATCATCATCATCATCATCATCATCATCATCATCATCATCAACATCAACATCAACATCAACATCATCATCATCATCAACATCATCATCATCATCCTGCTCCTCCTGCTCCTGCTCCTCCTCCTCCTCCTCCTCCTCTTCCTCGTCGCCCTCCTGCTCTTCCTGCTCCTCCTCCTCCTCCTGCTCCTCCTCCTCCTCCTTCTTCTCCCCCTTCTCCTCCTCCTCCTCCTCCCCTCGTGGGACCTCTCGTGTTCCTCTGGTGTGGTGTTGGGAGCTGGCGATGCCAGCGGGGGGGATCATTCCTCGGACCAGCTGCTCAGGCGAGTAGGTTGGGCGACCCGAATCTTCCAAGACGGGTCCCACAGCCACCAGAACAATATGCGTGAATTAAAGTCGTGGGGAGGACCCCTGGAGCTCAAGCAGTCAATCAACAGGGGTGAGCCCTGTGCCTTCTTCGCTTCCCTCAAGGCGACGGCTGCCTACCCCGTTTTTGTCACCCGCATGTATGTTACTGATAGCACGTATGTTCTGAGGAATGTCAGCAAATTCCGTCGAGGGGTTATGCCCGAATCCAATCGTGCGGACTGGCTGGCGATCGAATGGGTGCTCAGAAATTGTGCTGGTGCTCAGGTTGAAGTTCTTTGGGTTGACTCCCACCTGTCCGCTGAGGAAGCCCAACAGAAGGGTTTCTCTCTTGTGCACTGGCATGCGAATAAGCAGGTAGATGAGCTCGCTGGCCTCAGGGCGGAGGAGACACTTCTCCCCTACGCTCAGATCGCGGGCGCGGGCCTTGTCCAAGCTGTGGCGTTCAGGGTTCGGAGGCACCTTGTCGCCGTCATGCTGGATTCGGCTCAAAGTTGGGTCCCGCCACCGCCCAGCATCTTGGTGGCGAGGCCCAGAGTTCCCGCGGTGGTCAGGAATGCTCTTAAGCTTAACAATGCGTGGATGGAGTCCGAGCATCAGATCTCGAACCCTCATAGACCCCTTTTCTGGCAATGCTCTCAGTGCGACGGACGCACTGGGAGGAAGTTGTGCTTCGATTTCCTTCGGACCCCGTGCCCTGGCAAATTTGCGGCCGCCCCCCCCTCGGCCTCGTATGGGAGTGAAATCCACCTCTCCCACAGGATCCAGAAGGGAGTTGTTGGGGCGCTTTTTTGTGGAGCTTGTGGGCACTACTCTGCTGTTCGAGTTTTGAGAGAGGGGCTTAATAGCTCCTGCAAGGTCGCCCGAGGGGAGCAGATCACATCCCGTGGACGATATGATATTGCGGCGTCTCTGATGGGCAAACTTCCCAGCAGAGAGCGCGAGCCACCGAAGAGAGAGTCAGCGCTAGGAGATCGCTCTGACCCCTCGGTATACAGGCCCGCCAATTCAAGTGGTCGGAGCCTTTTCGTTTCCCTCCCCCGCGCTCTCGCGGTCCTTCGGTCAACGACCTTCTCCTCCTCCTCCTCCTCCTCCTCCTGCTCCTGCCTCTCCTCCTGCCCTCCCATCCGCCTGCTCCTCCGCCTTCTCCTCGATCTCCTCCTCCTCCCCCTCCTCCTGCTCCTCCTCCTCCTTCTCCCCCTTCCTCCTCCTCCTCCTCCTTCTCCTCCTCTTCCTCCTCCTGCTCCTCCTCGTCTTCCTGCCCTTCCCACCGTAGCCATTTTTGCTCAAGCCCTCTTGGATCCCGTCTAGGGTCCAGAGGGGGTTCGAGCCCCGTTGCCAGTCTGGATCGCCCAGGAGTCTCCCAGGGACCCCCTGAAGGCTCAGGGCGCTGTTACATAATGTTCGAGGAAGCCAGTCTCCCAGCCCCAATGCTATAGGATTCTACTCCCGAGAGGTTAAATCTTCAATCCTGCGCTGGCGCTGGTATCGCCGCTGTCGAAACCAAGCCTGATCCGGCGCAGTCCCGTCGAAGCTCGCTTCACTCTGCCTGATCTGGCTCAATCCTGGTCTTACTCTGGACTCTTTCGGCCCAGTGTTTCGCAGTCGGGCTTGAAGCCTTGTTCCCCAATCAGTGCTTGCACTGAAGGGGTCCTAGCTGAACTTGAAACATTTGGCGAAAGTTTCCCGCCGATTTGGGTAGCCGGCTGGGTTCCCGGGTTCCTGGTTCTGGATTCCCGGGTTCCTGGTCATTGGTTCTGGTCCGATTTCGGTGGGTTCCAGGTTCCCGGGTTCCCGGGTTCCCGGTCGATCTCCTTGTCGATCTTTTTATCGATCCCATTTCAAACCATCCGCTGATTGGGTATATCCTCTGGTGTAATGACATTCTCGCGAAGATCTGGCAGCTGCTTGCCGGGATCCTGCGCCGCCTCTCCCCCTGCCCGCTCCCGCGAGGAGGCCGAGGACCACTGCCTGTGGCTGGGCCTGCCCCTGCACGTGCAGGTGGCCAACGTGGGCGACGTGGTCTTCAGGGGCGACGTTTGGGCCATGAGATTGGGAGGGGGAGGAGGGGGAGGGGGGGGAGGAGGAGGAGGAGGAGGAGGAGGAGGAGGAGGAGGAGGAGGAGGAGGAGGAGGAGGAGGAGGAGGAGCAGCAGGAGGAGGAGGAGGAAGAGGACCAGGAGGAGGAGGAGGAGCAGGAGGAGGGGCAGCAGAAGGAGGAGGAGGAGGAGGAGGAGGAAGAGGATGATGATGATGGTGAGGAGGAGGAGGAGGAGGAGAAGGAGGAGGAGCAGAGATGGTGATGATGATGATGATGCTGCTGCTGCTGCTGATGATGATGATGATGATGATGATGATGATGATGATGATGATGATGGTGATGGTGATGATGCTGATGATGATGGTGATGACGATGCTGATGACGATGCTGATGCTGATGCTGCTGATGATGATGATGATGATGATGATGATGATGATGATGATGATGCTGATGAGAAGGACGAGGACGAGGACGAGGACGAAGACGAGGACGAGGACGAGGACGAGGACGAGGACGAGGACGAGGACGAGGGGGAGGAGGCGGTGGAGGAGGAGGCGGAGGAGCAGCCGGGGGGGAGCAGGAGCAGGAGCAGGAGGAGGAGGAGGAGGAGGAGGAGGGGCAAGAAGAATTGCGAGCACCAAGAAAGTGCTGAAACTTTAGTGTTTTCATGTTTCGGGCCCTGGGAGCCGACACTCGTTCGACACTGTTTCGACACTACTCTGGGTGCTCGAGATTATGATTGAAAAGTGGCCTTCAGTACGATGGGAGCAACGTAACGTTAGGGGGGACACTGTCAACCCTGATAGTACGGACGATCGACTTCCCAGGGGTGCCCTTGTATCCTTGCCTCTTCGGTCATCTTCGGTCCATCCTCAACCCTTCTCGATGGCAAGCCCCGCTCGAAGAGCCTCGGGGTGGGCGTCCAAGGCGCCTGCACCCTTACCGCGCATCGTTACTACATGGGTTGACTGTAGTTCGGTAGCAAGACATGGGGGGCCTTGTATACCGTCGTTGCTCCGTCTTGAGAGTGCACAAGCGTCGATTAGCGCCGAGTGGTCGGTAAGACAGTGCCGATTTAGGGTCTACTGGCGTCGACTAGTGTCGATGAGCGTCGATTTGGCGTCGATTAGCGTCGGTTGACGTCGATCAGCGTCGACTCGCAAGCGCCAACAAGATGGTCGGGGATGCTTAGATGAGCTGCCACAGATGGATATGCGCATGGGGACGCATCGACCCCCAATCGCCCACTCATCCTTGGTATGGGGCCACACAGCCCACCTGGCCCAGGAGCGCGCGGATTCGCTATCGCGAACTGTCGCCGATCTATCGGCGATGTATCTCCGATTCCAGCCCGATGTTTCCCACCGTGAGCCCGCCCTATGGTTTGTTTTCGGGTCATAACTCGGCTCTCCGGCGGCCGTTCGGGACGATCCGGGCACCCTCGGAACGCTTTCGGCGAGGCGCAGCCGCTGGAAGGCATCGCGGCATGCCCGGGGTGAAAAGCCGCCGAGAACCGACGGACACGCCCGAAAACCTCGAACCATCGAACCTCGAACCTCGAGCCTGAACACCTCGAACCTGTCGCTCCTCTTCAGGCAGCGTTCCAAGGCGACCCCATCTCTGGGGCAGGTTCCGACCCGGGGCCGCATGTGGCCCCAGAGCCCGCAATGGTTAAGTCGGGCCTGTCCCTCTACAGGGGAATATGCAACAATAGTCAAAGAACAGTCTGGGGACGATTATTTGAGTATTTTTGTTGCCATTTTGGGGCACCTGTTATTTTTTATAATATATCCTTCAAAAGCCCCCGTGTAGGGGAACAGGCCCGACTCATCGTAACGGAGAGAGCCGTCGGATTGAAACAGTCACATCGCCGGAGGTATTGGGATCTATACCGTTCCCCGTGTCGTTCCCTTCTCGAGCCGATCCTCCTTCGTCTGACGCTGCCCCCCAGGATCTGCTTCCCACGCCGCCACCCCGGCTCGAGGACCGAGACTCGAGACTCACGGCCTGATCCTCGAGCATCTAGGTTCCAGGGTCGAAGCTCGAGCAGCAAGAATCGGGGATCCAGCATCAAGCATCGAGCATCAAAGATCGAGTCTCGAGCATGGAGGATCAATGATAGAGTTATGTCGGGCGGGTCCCCCCTACAGGGGGATTTTCGACGGAAAATGAAGAATACCCAAAAAGTAACCCAAAAAGGTCGAAAAATACCCAAACAATAGTCCCCAGACTTTGTTTGGACAATTTTTGGCTAAGTTTGGGGGTAGTTTTTAGTTTTCGTCAACTCCCCCTGTAGGGGGGACCCGCCCGACTTAGTGATAGAGCATCGAGAATCGAGGATCGAGGGCCGAACCTTGGCCCCCTCAGGTCTGCTTCCTGCGCCGCCACCCGGGCTCGCGGACGGCGTGCGCGGCGCGAGCCATCCGGCGGTCTTCCTTCGGGGCGGTGCGCTGGGGCTCCGGGGCGTGGCGGAGCAGCGGAGGCACCAGGTAAAGCTTCACAGAAGTCAGGAGGGAAAGAAACACAGACACAATCAGTCGTCGATTCCCCAGAAAAGATTGGGAAATCTGGGAAGTGGGGGGAAAGATAAACACTCAGAAAATTTGGGAACATATGGGGGATATGTTTCTTTGTGTGTATTTATTTGTGTGTCCCAGGGCCCCTTCAATCAGCTTTTTCTCAACAGCGCCCTACAGCGCTCAATCGATGGGCCGATGGTATACCACCGCTACCAGAGGTAGGAGAGGGAGGAGGAGGAGGATGGAGGATGGAGGAGGAGGAGGAAGAGGAGGAGGAGAGGGAGAAGGAGGAGGATATCCCATGCCTCCCTTCTCAAAACGTCCTACCTATGGTAATTAATGGCCAGTGGAAAGTAGCCCACCATCGGTAGCGCCAAATAGCGCCCAGCAGCGACGAACAGTGTTCAAACAGCGCTCACATGGCGCCCAATAGCGACCAATAGCACCCAAATAGCCACATTATGTCCGCTTTGCGCGCTATTAGGCGCCATGGGGACGACCAAACGCTTCCGTGATTTGCTTTCTACCCATCATCAGGAGGAGGAACATCCCCAGATATGGTCGCGTCGTGCTGTTTTTGTCCTCCGTTGGCGTTTGCCGGGCCCCAGGACGTTCGAAACAGTATTTTTAGATGAAACGTTGTCCCGAGGAAGGGGTCTGACCCCTGGGGCCGACGTGGAAAAACCAGGGGCGTGGAGATTTGGACTATGGATTTTGTTCACACTGGGCCTTGGCGCGTGATTTCGGGTCCCTGCTCGAAAAGCGCATGAGAATAATGGAGTCTAGAGCTCTGGGCGTGGGTTTCATGATGTCGCATTTTGTGGCAACGTCGGGTCTCCGGGAGGAGCATACGCCAGATCTCCGAGGCGTCGAGGCGTTGATTTGTCCAAAACCATTGTTTAGGGGATCGATCTTTAGGGAACCTCTGCAGGCGTTGGATCTGACTATGCTCAGCCCCCACCAGACTCTTCTCATGTTCCATGGGTTGTCGAGCTGCTCATCCCTACTCTTACTGATTATCCTCCCTCTCTTCATTCATCCCCTCGCGTGCGAAATGTTTCCCCTCGTGTTGACGAGGCAGCGCCACGCTTCCCTCCTCCTCCTCCTCCTCCTCCTCCTCCTCCTCCTCCTCCTCCTCCTCCTCCTCCTCCTCTCCCTTCTCCCACCCTTGCATCTGCTCTCCGCATGTCCACCATTTCAGCGCACCCACTACAGCGCTTCATAGCACCATAGCGAGCTCCACCGAAGGCCCCAATGGCTGTGATCAATGCGTCCTCGCGACCCATTCCGGCACACCTCCCACACGTTCCCATGCGGAACTCCACCGAAGGCCCCAGGGGCTGTGATCACATGCGCCCGCGCGACCCATTTCGGCACACCCCTGGACCCATAGGGAGCTCCACCGAAGGCCCCAGTGGCTGTGATCACATGTGCCCGCGCGGTTTATGTTGGCACACCCCTCACATGTTTCGTGGCCCCATACAGAGCTCCTCCGAAGGCCCAGTGACCGATTTCGGCACACCCATCACACGTTTTGTGGACCCAGTTGGAGTTCCACCGAAGGCCCCAGTGGCTGTGATCACGCGCCCGCGCGGCCCATTTCCGCACACCCCTCACACGCTTCGTGGCCCCATAGGGAGCTCCACTGAATGCACCAGTGGCTGTGATCACATGCGTCCGCGCGACCCATTTCCGCACACCCCTCACACGTTTCGTGGCCCCATAGGGAGCTCCACCGAAGGCCCCTGTGGCTGCGAACCCATGCGTCCGCGCGGCCCATTCCGGCACACCCCTCACACGCTTCGTGGCCCCAGTGGGATCTCCACCGAATGCCCCAGTGGTTGACATCACATGCGTCCCCGCCACCCAGTGCGGCACACCCCTCACACGCTTCGTAGCCGCATAGGAGCCCCACCGAAGGCCCCAGTGGCTGTGATCACAGGCGTCCCCGCAAGCTATTTCGGCACACCCCTCACACGCTAGGGATCCCCACCGAATGCCCCAGTGGTTGACATCACATGCGTCCCCGCCACCCAGTGCGGCACACCCCTCGCACGCTTCGTGGCCCCATAGGGAGCTCCACCGAAGGCTTCAGTGGTTGTTAACCCATGCGTCCGCACGACCCATTTCGGCACACCCCTCACACGTCTCGTGGCCCCAGAGTTATCTCCACCGATGGCTTCAGTGGCTGCGATCACATTCGTCCGCGCGACCCATTCTGGCACACCCCTTGCACGCTACGTGGCCCCATAGGGAGCTCCACCGAAGAGGATCTGCATCCTTGCGGTAGTCACAACTGCATATCGTTGGGTCCCTCGCCAGGACACTTCTATCAGCTCTCCCCTGCTATCTCCCCCCACTTAGACTTCCACTTAGTCATCTTCATGATCATCCCCTGTATCGCTCGTCCTATCTGGACTCGTCCCCATTATCGGTTCTTCCCTGTTCCTGTTTGCCCCTTTCTCCGTCCCGCCCACCCCATCGCACTCCCTATGCTCTGCTCTATCTCTTCTTTTCTCTCTGTCTCTCTCGTCGTCTCTGATCCTGCTGCTTCCGTCGCCACGCTTGGGTCAAGTTGTCCAGCGCTTGCCATCCTGCCATCGTCGCCAAACGATGCGCCAAAACGCAGGGGCTGAACAGATGTGATCACGACGCGGGTGCAGGCATTAGCGGTTTCGTGGACAACCTTTCGGCCAAAGAGAACTTGGCAGGGGCCCTGAAAAAGGTCAGATATGTATCTCGCAAGCGCCTGCGCGACGCATTGGCAACTGCCTCCTTGCGTAACAACAAGCGCCGCGACGATCTCTGCAAGACGAGCAGGGCGCTCAAGAAACTGCACGACACGACTCGGCGACCTACCCAGGAGAGCGAGGAACACGAGCAACGCCTCCAGGACCTGCGGACGGAGTTAGACCAGTCCAAGTTCGCCATCAGAACCTTCCGCACGGGCTCTTCAAGCACTGGGCAGCGCACTGGGGCAAGAAGTGCGGGGCTTGGCTCACCTTGCTCCCCGCAAAGTGGGCGTCGAGAGACAATCCGTCCCCTCGGGATGGCCTCGCGGGCGCGCACTCAGGCGCAGGTGCGCCCCTGCGCGGAGCTGCCAACGAAACACGTACATGCTGACGCACTGTGCCGCATGGCGGGCGCCCCCCCCGCTCCAACGACAACGCGTGCCCGGCGCCCCAGCACTAGGTGTTTTGCGTGTCTCGACCCGCCACCTGTCACGCGCAGTGGGCGCGGCACGTGCGAGAACCATGGTGTCCGAACCTCGATCGCCTCGACGTGCCTTGGCGCGCTGGCCGTGGTAACCATGCAGGGGGGCCCCTAAACGAGACCCCCTAGATGTGGGTATTCAGCAACATCTGCCCGTGCCGTCTGCACTGCCCGGCTCTTGCCCTCTCTGCCCGCCGCAAGCGCGACGGGCTCAAGGTCGCTTGGGCCCCTGCTTCGACGCGCCCCGGCACATGGTGTCCCGCGCGTCCCGATCCGCCTGCCCTCGCGCTCCACAGCCGCGGCGCGTGCGGACGACACTGCGCCCCTGGCTCGATCGCCCCGACATGCGTTGACGCGCTGGCTGCGGTGACCACGCAAGGGGTGTCTTAAACAGGATGCCCCCGCATGGGGATACCGGAAAGATTCAGCAACCCAGCCTTTGCGTTGCCCGCCGATTGGCCATCCTCCCGGGTCGCAAGCGTGACAGGTCCAAACTTCTCCCCATTTCGATTGTCCCAGCCAGGAAGCCTCTCTCTCGCCGCGGCAGATGTGCAGGCGACGGGGGCGGCCCCCCTCGACCAAGATGAGCGCCCAGACCTCGCCGAAGATGACCTGGGCCGCGCGTTCGAAGCGTTGAATGCGGAGAAGCCCCCCGCAGCGGTCGCTGAACGGATGATGGTGGGCCCGATCGGCAGGCCAGGCAGCGTGACCGCGCGGGACTGACCGATCTGGCAGTGGAAGGGCCGCTGCCAAGAGACAACCAGCTCCGTCGTGGACGTCTGGGCCACTTTAGGCGACCTGTCCACTGTTGACATGGACTCGGTCAGCGAGACCATGGAGTAGGGGGTTTGCAACACCCTGTGTGAAGCCGATCATGTTCAGCAGCCGCGAGAAATTCACGACAAACCAGCAAGAAGTGGCCAGCGCGTAAACACTCGTCCTCTGAAGCCGCGACCGTTGGACGACGCTGAAAAAAAAGAATTTGCCGCTTGGCAGCATTATTGGCGGCTTCTACAAGCATTGAAAGCGCGACTTGCCCGTCGCTGCGCCAGTTGGCGGCGCGCCCAGGGACGGCGATAGCGATTGGGAGAAACAGAGGATGCTGGTCGTCGCCTTCGTCGGTGCAGATGCGCTGCGCGCCGGTGTCGGCCGCGGGCAAACGTTGCGGGTTGAGCACCGGCCTGTCGACCCAGATAGCCCAACGTACCACGTCAGGCGGGACCTGATTGACCGCGTGCATTGGAATTTCATAAACATGAGCCTTTTCTCGGTCGGGGATACGCAGTGCCCATGTTCATTCCATCGTACTCTTTCAGAGTACCCGGGCATCGCCAAGCGCGCCGGTCATGCTATTTACTAACATGTACACGCTGCTCGCCACTGTCGAGGCCATGCTTGGGAAGGCGCCGCTCATCCACATCCCGGCAATGGCCGTCTCGCTGAGGCACGCCGATATGGAGAAAATGCCGGCCAACGAGGTCACTACGCAATGCGGGCGCCGTCCGGGATGGGTTTCTTTTGTGAGGAGCGGGGGGGGAATGCGTGCCCCGAGTCTCCGGCGAAGGAGATTCTGTCTAGCAGCGACCCCGCGCGGTCAAGGCGCGAAGCGCGGGTTGAGACACACACACACACACTCACACATAGCAGGCTGAGACAAGGTTGTCCGACTGCACAGTCATCTGGTGCGCGCGGCCCACGCGGCGCGAGTATCCTCCATTGCTCGGCCGGCCCTGTCCAGTAACATTTCTCTGGTCCGCCGCAAGCGTTCTTGATCCGACGACGGAGCAGTCAATGACATGCGCGGGTTGGCGCTTGGCTTAAGTCGGGCCTCTCACCCTACAGGGGGAGACTGGCGACGAACAAACAAAGCATATGCCAAACATAATCCAAAAATAGTCCCAAAATAGTCTGGGGACTATTTGTTGAATATGTGTTGACCATTTTGGTTTTTTTGGGGGGGTCTTCTTTATTTTTGGTCGAAAATCCCCCTGTCGGATGACACGCCCGACACAATGTCAATGGTCCCAGGGGGTACATACCCATACATATCCAACGCCCCCTGAGGCCCCCGGAGGGAGGGTGGAGGAGGAGGAGGAGGAGGAGGAGGAGGAGTAGGAGGAGGAGGACGAGGAGGAGGGCCTTCCCAGCAACACTACTTGCAAACAACGCCCCGCGCTCGCGGGGTGGGGGGCATCCGCCCGCGCCCAGCTGTTCGCAATTGTGCCGCCAGGGACTGCCCAGATCTGGTGAGCGCTTTTCCGTTGGAAATTAGCTTTCGCAAGACCGTTCAACGACCAACCTGGGAGGCCAACCTCACCTCGCATCGCGGCTGTCGACTGCGCGGTCCGGACGCGAAAACAGTGACACCTCTGGGCCCAGGATGGGTTCTGGTTTTCCAGCCGCTCTCCAGATCTGCGGCCGAAGCTCGCTCGGGTTTACGCCAGGTGCGAACGTATTCGCAAGGAGGGTGGAGATGCCAACGGTGGAGCGGGGACAATCCATGGGGCCGCATGCGTACCAGGTGTGCGGGGACGGAGACAAGCTACAACATCCAGCCCAGTATCTTCATGCATGGAAGCAGCGATAGAAAGAGTGCCCCGGGTGGCTCACGAGTGTGCTTTAAAGACGCGCCTTGGGCGTAATTATGGCTACTCTCCGCCTGTCTGTCGGCATCGCTCCTTCCACTCGGCGCCCGTCGCTGCAGTGAACGCGAGACGCCTGCAGGGCGGGCGCTCGCCGTGCGAGCGTGGGTCGGTCCCCGGGGCCCGCCCGGGCCGGGCCGACGCGGCCCTGTCCGCTGGTCGGAGCGGGCGGCGCCCATGAAGGGGGTGTGGCGAGGCGGGCGGCCCACCAAGAAGGCGGAGGGGCTTCTCAGACCGAGTGGGCCTCTTCGGGCGCCCCGCCGTCTTCGAGCCCACGCCTCGGACGTCGTGCTCTTGATTAGGACGTGCACCCCCAGCACTCTCGACCGCTGGCCCTGGACCAGCTCCTCCACCCGGGTTTCTCTTTGTGGACGGTCCCGGGGGCCCTCGCTGGGGGGGCCTGGGAGGCCGGAAGAAGCCAGCCTTTCCCCGTCGCAATGTGTTACGGATCCGAGGGGGGCCTTCTGGGCAGAAGGCCGCCCCTCTCGCGCCACCCCCTTGAGGAGCGCCGCCCGGCCGGACAGCCTGCATCTAATCAAGCGGCTCGATGCGACCGAAGCGTCAGCGGGCAAGAACGACACGACAACTGGCAGCGGCTCCTGTTTTGTGGGAGCAGGATGCGCGGACGGCGTCGCCGCGCACGCTGCCCATGGTTTCATGGCGTTTCTCGTTGTATTCGGGCAAGTTCACTTGCATGTGGGATTTCCCTCACCTGCCCCCCTTCTCCGCCGCCTTTGAAAGCGATGCTGGGCCGAGAAGCCGTGCACGTGAGTGCCGGCTTGCGTAACGTCCAGGCTTCCTCGGTGGGCTTGCTACTCTCCCCCCCTCCCTCCCCACCTCCAGGCAAGCAAACTTCCCAGAGTCTTTCGTGAGACAGAACGATGCCTGCCCAACCGCAGTCGCTGCCGGTTTTGCACGTTGCTCGGTCGTCCGAAGCGGACGCCCTCCCCCGCCCGCAAGCGCGCGTGCGAATTTTCCAATTCACTTAACAGGATTCGCGGTCGGCGTCGCCGCGGACGTTGTCCCTCATTTGACGGCGTTAACTATTCGTCGCCTGCCCAACCGCAAGCGCGCAGGCGGCACCCTCAGGTGCGGCGCTTCCTGGAGATCCACTGCGATGCGGCTGCGGCGGTCGGAGCGCCCAGCCTCACGGACGAGGACAGTGGGACGGGCGTCGCGTAGCCATTTCCCATCCCCTTCCTCCTCCTCCTCCTTCTCCACCTCTGGCGTTCGGTCTGGAGGAGGATGAGCTCTCAGATGTTGCCGCCTTGGGTGCGAGCCTCCTCGAGCGAGCTGTGGACGCCGAGGGGTTTGAGGAGGCCTCTGCCTTGGAGGCCTCCGATTCGGAGCCAGACTAGGCCCCCCAGACTGGCTTCAGGCCGCTGCTTCATCTCATCACCGTTTTCCAACGCCGAGAGGGGGGGGAGGCACAGTTTTCATGGCGCAGGAGACCCCCACTTCTTTCCGGGGAATTGTAAGACTCGAGCAAGCCGGAACTCGGGTTAGCCGACTTTTTGTTTGACGAGCGCGTCCTGGGTTCTGACGGTCCCTCTTTCGTGGGGTGTCTGCAGCGGGAGCCCGCGTCAAATTTTAGATTGGGTCTCGTCATTTTTATGATGGCCCCGTCAGGCCAACCCGAGTCCCCCGTACTCGAATCTTCCGTCTCCCCGATCTCCGGAAGAGCGCGTTCTGTGGTCGCTTGGAGGGGGGGGGCTTGGAACCGGACCCGCCCCCCTCCTGCCCTCCCCCTCCTCCCCTACTTCTCCTCTGGCCCTCTCCTCGGGCCAGCGCCTGCGTTGGCGGCGCCTGCTGCGGCGGCGGGCGGCGGCGGCGGGTGGTGGCGGTGACGGTGGTGGTGTGGTGCTTTGTCATGGTGGTTGTGGTGGTGGTAGTGGTTGTGGTTGTGGTGGTGGTGGTGGTGGTGGGTGGTGGCGGTGGCGGTGGTTTGTGGAGGTGGTGGTTGTGGTGGTGGTGGTTTGTCGCGGTGGTGGTGGTTGTGGTGGTGGTTGGGGCGTTGGTGGTGTGGGTGGTTTTGTGGTGGTGGTTGTGGTGGTGGTGGTTGGTGGTGGTGTGTGTGGTGTGGTGGTTTGTTGTGTGGTGGTTGTGGTGGGTGGTGGTGGTGGTGGGGGTTTGGTGGTGGTGTGATGGTGGGTTGTGGTGGTGGTGGTGGGTTGTGGTGGTGGTGGTGGTGATTTGTTGCGGTGGTTGTGGTTGTGGTGACGGTTGGTGTTGTTGGTGGTGGCGGTGTGGTGGTTTGTGGTGGTGGTGGTGGTGGGTGGTGGTGGTGGTGGCGGTGGTGGTGGTCGTGGTGGCGGTGGTGGTGTGGTGGTTTGTTGTGGTGGTGGTTGTGGTGGTGGGTGGTGGTGGTGGTGGTGGTGGTCGTGGTGTTTTGGTGGTGTGTGATGCTGATTTGTGTTTGTGGTGGTGGTTGTTTGTGGTGGTGGTGGTGGTGGCTGTGGTGGTTGTGGTGGTGGTAGTGGTTGTGGTTGTGGTGGTGGTGGGTTGTGGTGGTGACGGTGGTTTGTGTAGGTGGTGGTGGTGGTGGTGATGGTGGCGGCGGTGGTGCTGGTGGTGAGGTGGTTTGTGGTGGTGGTGGTGGGTTGTGCTGCTGGTAGTGGTGGTGGTTGTGGCGGTGGTGGTGGTGTGGTAGATTGAGGTGGTGGTGGTAGTGGTGGTGGGTTCTTGTGGTGGTGGTGGTGGTGGTGAGTTGTGGAGGGTGGTGGTGGTGGCTGTGGTGGTGGTGGTGGTGGTTGTGTGGTGGGTTGGTGGTGGTGGTGGTGGTTGGGGTGGTGGTGGTGGTGGTCGTGGTGGTAATCGTCGCTGCGTCCCCGCCGTCGGCTCTGCTGGCGGCCGCTCGCCAGCGCCGGCGCCAGCGCCGGCGCCGAAGGGGGGGGGGTGTTGTGACCCCCCCCCCTGTTGGGAGGGGGGGGGGGTCGGTTCGCGAGGGGGGGTGGGTTAGGGGGGAGGGGAGTCGCCCTGGTTCTGATCGGCGCCGCCGAGTGTTGGGGGGGACCCCGTAAAGGCACGCGAACGCCCCAGGGGGTCCGTTCCCGTTCTCGTTCCCGTTCCCGTTTCCATTCCCGTTCTCGTTTCTGTTCTCGTTCCCGTTCCCGCCGCCCGTGCCACTTCCAGAGGATAGAAGGGGAGGAGGGAGGGAGGGAGAAGGGAGGAGGGAGGAGCAAGGAGGGAGGGACAGAGGGAGGGAGGAGGGAGGAGGGAGGAGGAGAGAGGAGGGAGGGAGGGAGGAGGGAGGAGGAGAGAGAAGGAGGGAGGGAGGGAGGAGGGAGGAGGAGGGAGAAGGAGGGAGGAGTGAGGAGGAAGAAGGAGGGAGGCGTCAGGAGGAAGAGGGAGAAGGATCGTCGTTACCATGATCATCATCAGCAGCAGCAGTAGCAACATCATCATCACCATCACCACCATCATCATCATCATCATCATCAGCGTCATCATTACCATCATCAACATCACCACCATCATCATCATCATCCTCATCATCATCCTCATCCTCATCCCCATCATCATCGTCATCATCATCACCATCATCATCATCATCATCATCATCATCATCATCATCATCACTAGCATCATCATCACCATCATCATGGGCACGACAACGACCACCAAGATCGTAATCATCACCAACAATCATCGTCTTCATCCTCAGTCATCATCATCACCACCACTATCACGATCACCATCACCACCACCACCATCGTCATCATCATCATCATCATCAGCATCGTCATCAGCATCATCATCATCAACACCATTATCAGTATTATCATAATCAGCATGTTCATCATAACAATTATCATCTTCATAATCAACATCACCAGTCATCATCATTATCACCATCATCATCATCAGCCTCATCGTCATCATCACCATCGTCATCGTCAACATCGTCAGCATCGTCAACGTCGTCATCCTCCCCCTCTGCGCCCTCCTTCCCTTCCCCTCTCAGCCCACCTCACCTTCTCTCTTTCTCCCCATCCTCTTCCCCCCCTCTCCCCTCCCCAATCCCCTTCCCCCTTCCCAATACCCCTCCCTATCCCCTTCGCCTACGGCGATGATTCGCCGTAGGCGTCTGACAGAGACCTTCCGAGACCGCCAGCGAACTCCCAGGAGACCCCCAAGACATCCCCCCTGACGTACCCACTAAGCCCCCAAACGGGCCCCAAGAAACCTGAAACATGTTTCTATGAGGCCCCCGCGAGGCCTCTAAGGAGAGCCTAGCAAGCCTCCAAGCGTCCGCGGCCTTTCTGGAGCCTCCCTCTTGATCCCCATTTCAGGTTGGAAGGGACCTTTACTTATTGATGTTCTGATGGCTTTTGCAAGATTCGGGGATATGCGGTTCTTCGATCTCGGTGCCAGGGACCCCCTGGACGCGAGAGAAAGAGAAAGAGAGAGAGAGAGAGAGCGGGAGGGTGAGAGAGAGAGAGAGAGCGGGCGAGAGAGAGAGAGGGCGAGAGAGAGAGACAGGAAGAGAAATAGAGAGAGAGAACAAGAGAGAGAGAGAGAGAGAGCACGGGAACGGGAAGGGATACAGGAACGGGAACGGACCCCTGGGGCGTTCACTTTTTTTTCGTGGGACCCCCCGGTTCGAAAAGCGCCGCCGAATGTTACCAAGGCGAACGCCCGTGAAACGCGCTCTCTCCGATCTTCTCGTCGCTCGGAGGAAAGGGAGAACAGCAAGCGAGGGGGTGGAGAGGGGAGGAGGGAGGGGGCGGGAGAGGACGCGGGAGGAGGAGGACGCGGACAAAAAACAGACGGGCTGGCGTGCCCCGGACTCCAGCCACGCGGCCAGGACAGCAGCCTTAAGTCGGGAGCATTAGAACATAGTTTTAAAGTCGTCAGGGGGCATGTTTTGATGATTGCCTGACTAGTTTGGTCTTTGTTGGCTATTTCTAATTTTTCGTCCAACATCCGCCTGTAGGGGGACCTGCCCGACCTAACATCAGTCGTGCCCAGCAGCAACAGGAGGGGGGGGGAGTTCAGAGAAGAAAAGGTACCCGTATCGCTACCTCCTGGCCGTTTTCCCAATTTCGGGCCCCCTGGGAGGCCCTCGTTGCCACCTTTCGATTCGCTTCGAGTTTATGGTCAGGACGCACCCTGGGGGAGGCCCGGGGGCAGCGGTATCGGTACATTGTGGTTTGCCTAGGAGCAGGACTGGAGCATGCCGAGAAAATAGTATACGAGTTTAGGGCCAAGGCGGACTTGCCCTCTGGTGGGGTGCAGCCGAATCGCGACCGAGACCGCAGTCTGGCAGGCTACCTGGAACACAAGGGCACCATCAACCATGGCTGAAGGGCAGGATAAGGAAAGGGGAGCACATACACATACATATCTATATATATATATATATATATATATATACATATATATGTATATATATACATGCATACATACATTTATATATATATATATATACACACACGTGCACAGGGCCCGGGCGCCCTGGGCACGGGCCACGGGGGGGCATGGGAGCACCTGGGCCTCTGGGCCCCCCCGAGAGATCCCCAGACAGCCCCGAAACGCCACCCGAGAGTCCCAGGAGGTCTCCAAACTTCACCCGGGCCCAGAGTCCCCAAATTGTCGCTCCAACACGCCGAAGATGGCTCCAAGACTGCTTCCAGGAGCGCCCACGACGGCCCAAGAGTCCCCCAAGGGGATCCCAAGAGCGCCTCCAGAAGAAAAACTGGCCCCATTCCCCATGGAAAACGTACATGTTTTGCGATATCCACATCTTCGGCGTTGACCGCCTCGAAGACTGCCTCAGGAGCCCACAACATCGCCCCACGGCGGCCAAAGAAAGTTCCAAGAGGCCTCCAAGACAGCTGCAGAGGAGCCCTCGACTATCCAGGAGGCCCCCAAGACGGTCCCCGAGGGCCCCGGGGGGCCTGTGGGGCCCCACGACAGCCCCAGACAGCCCCAGACAGCCCTGAAACGCCACCAGATAGTCCCAGGAGATCTCCAAGCGTCCAAGACGGCCCTGAATCCCCGAACCTGTCGCTCCAAGACGCCGAAGATGGCTCCAAGACGGCCTCCGGGAGCCCCCGCGACGGCCCAATAGATCCCCAAGAAGTTTCCCAAGAGCGCCTCCAGAAGCAAAACTGGCCCCATCTGTTTGGAAAACGTGCATTTTTACGATGTTCACC